TTTTTTCCCCCGGCCAATTTACGCCAATCAGAAGCTGGAAATTGGTTAGTTTTTCTTTCTTCAGTAGAACTTGACTCAAACGTTGCCTGGGGTGGGGCTGAATGCAAGTATCTTTTGTGCTAGAATCCATTTTCCTCCCTTTTGTGTGCGGAAATCATTTTTTCGAATTGCCCCGGGAAATGGGTTTGGATTTAGGCCTTGTGGTGGTTTGCCAGGTGGGGGTAAGAAATTGGGGAGGGGGGGGGGAGCGGGCGTGTGCTCTCGACTTTCGAGACAGATGACGAACGACGACGACGACGATGGTGAAGGTGACGACAACAACCTCCAGCCAGAACTGCCTGCCTATCTGCTTGCCTGCCCTGCCTGGCAAGACGATGGTGAAGGTGACGACAACAACCTCCAGCCAGAACTGCCTGCCTATCTGCTTGCCTGCCCTGCCTGGCAAAGCAAAGGCACCTTAATCAGCAGCGAGGGCGAAGCAGCGGGTGTGGTTCAAGGCGCGAAGTAGGGCACTCAACATGGCGTCCCAAAGAAAGACAAATGGCGCGGGCGATAGCAGTCGAAGAAGAAAGACAAGACAATTGGGCTTAAGACGTCAAGGGCACGATCGGTTCCTCCCAGCTGGCTTGCTTTCGTCTCACGTGTGATTGGCCGTGGGGCGTTGCCCTTATCGCCGCCATACTCTTCATGGCACTGAACCTCTCCTCTCCTCTCCTCTCCTCTCCTCTTCTACCCTATCCCATCCCACGGCTATTCTGATATCCATCCCCCCCTCAACCCCTCAACCACTCAACCCCTCAACCACTCAACCCCTCAACCACTCAACCACTCAGCCCCTCGTCACCCATGTCTTTCCAAACAATGCGTCTGACTGCGCTTTGCCACTGCTCTGCCGTCCACTGACTGCCGTCCAAGCCAATAGGTAGAGGAATCGCAGCTAGACAAGGTTTGGCCCTTGTCGCTCTTATTCCTCTCAGCGACACCTGCCACCAATGGCTTTCCAACCTCATGTGGCCAAGAAGAAAACAAACAGAAACAAAATGCATCAAGATACTCTAGAGAGTGTGCCATCCATCCATCGCCATCCAAACCCAGGACATCAGAGAAATCTTGTCTCGCTGACCAGATTCGCCATGGACCCCACAAGCAACCTCATCCATCATCCCTACCAGAGTAACTCTAAAAATCGTCCGCATAACCCTCGTCATCACGATCCGCCCTGTACCCACCACGCGGATCCGGGTTATCCACCATGATGAATGGCCTCCCCTCTGCATCCTCCTCCAAGTTGCCAAACAGCTTCATCAAATCGCGAATCGTCATCCTAACTCAGCGTCAGCCAACCCACCATCTCCAGAGCGACAAAACTAAAGCTTCTCGGCAGCAAACTCACCTGGACACCTTCTTTCCGTCATTTTCCATGACCGACTTGATCTCCGCGTCCTTGCGCTCCTGCATAGCAATAAGTTGCTTGTCGACTGTATTGTTGACACAAAGTCTGCTCATCGACGTCTCTTCCAGCTGGCCAATGCGGAATACCCGACAAAAGGCCTGCTGCTCAGATGCCGAGTTCCACCAGGGATCCATCATGATGACCTTGGAGGCCATGGTCAAGTTGAGTCCCACTATTTCAACATTAGCAGCAGCAGCAAAAACGAATATCAAGTGGGATCATTTACAGCCACCGCACCGGAGGGAAGCCAGCATGATTCGGATATCTGGATCTTCGGCAAATGAGGCGATGGCTTTGTCGCGAGCGTGCAGGGTCATGCCTCCATGGTACTGCAGTTCAAGTCAACATACACAGGCCCTAGCCACAAAGGGACCAGAACAGCCACACACCTGCTCAATCTTCCATTTCTCGTTATGGCAGATCCTCGCCAATATACTAATCCTAATCAAAGTCAGCAAACTTTCTCCAGGCCTTGGAGCGTCACAACTTACATTGCTAGAAACTGTGTGTAGATGATAATCTTCACCTGGGGGTTCTTTCTAGTCCAATTCATAATCTGCGCTTTGATGGCAATCGTCTTCGCCGACGGAAGCACGTCATCGCCCTGGGCAACCAGCCAATCTTTTGCGATATCTTCCTGCCCGGCACAAACCTGTTGGCTATTCTTCTTCCTCCTCGCCTTTGAACGGGTACCTTGCGCCACGGCCTCTGGCGTATCAAATTCGTCGGGATCACATGGGTGGATGTAGCTTGGAGTAACACCACAAGCTTTGCACGGCCCATGCTGCCTTTCCTCTTCAGCGGCTGCCAGGTGTGACTGCTCCAGACATGGTTTGTTGCAGATCAAATGGCCACAGGAGGTTATCCATGGACTTCTGGGCTGCTTGGAGCACCACCCGCACCTCGATTTCTTCTTTGCCTTTTCCCAGCTGTCACCCGTCTCAAGACTCCGTAGGAAGGGCTTGAAATTGTATTCTTTGCCGAATTTCCCCCCGGAAACGTAGTTGTGTGGATGACTTCGTTGCGAGGAGGGTTCTCCGTCCTCTTCCGCTGATGCGTGTTCATCGTCGGTAGCCAGCCTGTCTTCACCGTCTTCACCATCCTCGTCTTCAGGAACACAGTCGTCGTTGTACTCTCGCCCAGCAGCGAGACGCTTCTTTCTCGCCACGATTGCATGCGCATCGAGCTGCTTGCGGATGGCAAGGATGGTTTTGCCAGACTGGGTAGTCGTGTCTGCAGAGTGTTCCTGAGTAATCTCCTTGATGCACTCAATGTCTTCACGCTCCAGTAAATCTCGCATGACAAACTGGAGCATGAGAACATGTGAAGTAAGCTGACGAAGTCGCAGGAGCATCCTGTCTCTATTAGTAGCTGAGTATCACATGACGAGAGTCGTGGCACTTACACCAACGCATTCGAGTAAGACTTCTCCAGTACGTTCTGCTGCGACCACATATTGATCCTCTTGGTAAACCTCCTCTGGACGATCTCGTAGATGCAGCGTTCGACCGGATTGAACTCGCACCAATACGTATGCTGATCTGCCTGCGGAAGTTTTAAAATCGGAGCCCCAAACATCTCATCCGCATGAGTTCGCCGCATCATAAATTGGGAAAGGCGAACAAGCAGACGCTCGGTATTCTCCGGATCCTTGTTATCGCAGTAGTTGTGTTTGAAGATTTTAAAACTGCCCGTGTGAGGAACACCGAGAAATTTAAAATATGGGTATAGTTCTGTCAGGCTGTTCAGAATAGGAGTCCCGCTGAGTGCCCATTTGTGCGTCGCCATGAGGGCACGACAAGCGATTGACGTGCGACCCATGTGGTTCTTGATTGCCTGGGCTTCGTCGAGTACGACGCGGAGGAACCGCATTCGATGGAGGACGCCCCTCTGTGTCTCGTACACTTCTTTCCACCATGCAATCTTCTGCTCTGCTGTTTGACATTCAATGGGCGGATCATTTTTCGGATACGATCGCATGACCTCTGTGTAGCTGGTCAAGATGATGTCGTGGCCACTCAGGATCTCGTCGGGGTTTGTTGAGTCGATGCGATAACCTGCGCCATAGCGCAAGATTGTGAGATTTCGCTCCGTATGCTGTTCAAACTCGCTTTTCCACTGACTGAGCAGAGCAGGGCTAGCCACAAGCAAAGTTGTCTTGAGCTCTGAGGATCCTCGAGGTGGCTGTCCATTGACGATGTTTGCTAGCATTCGTTTAGCACGAGTTCAAGTCAGTGTCTACAACACTCACTTACCAAGCATCATTAGTGTCTTCCCTAGACCCATCTGATCCGCAAGAAGGCCTCCCCTCGGCTCCTCCGCCGAAGTCTCGCGCCGCCGCATAAACGCAGTTCCAAGTATCTGATAGTGTTTCAGAGTCGTCTTCATGCCTTTCACCGACCAGAGACTGTTTTCCGGCATTGGCTTGACCGAACCATGGCCATTAAATGCCCTGGTCGCGGTGAGGAGCATGTTCATCTCGTTCTTGGCTTTCTTCAGGTTGCCCAGTGGGACACTGGCGATGAGCTCTTTCAACCCACTCTGCTTGTTGCGTGAAGTGAAGCATGGCTGCTCCGATGCATCCGGGCCGGCCTGCTGTGCGAAGATGTTGGAGTTGAAGAGTGAACTTGCCTCTAAGGCTGCACGTTCAAGCTCACGCTTGTCTTTTGCTGTCTTGCCGTGACCGCCCCTGATTGCACCCTTGGCTCTGGATGGCCTGTTGCGATTTCTGTTCTTCGTCTTACCGCGGCTCGACGTAGCCGGTGAATCATCAGGACCTTTGCCCTTCTTCTTCTTCCTCCCCGCAGTTTCCTCATGCGCTTCCATGCCCACCTGCATACTCTGCAGTTCGGCATCAATCATCGAAATCGGCTTGCCAGGTCCATCCCGTCTCACGCGTTTCCGCGGCCCCGGTCGGCCAAAGTCGAAGTCATGATCTGAAGCTTCCTCCTCCTCCGGCTCCCCGTGCATCTGTAGCATCGACCTCACCTGCGGAAACACCTGGCCATGTTCCCCACCATCCTCAGACGCCAGTGCAAGATCGCGATCCCGCTTCATCCGCCTCGCACGCTCAGCCCCTTGGATCTGTAACCACTCAACATCGTGTCTGAAACTCAGGTGGCCGCTGCCCGAATTCCTCCTCAGATCATCGTAGTACCGCTTCTTCTTCTGGTACTCTGCAAGCGCCTGCCGATCAGACATGATATCTTCATCCACCGAGGGCGCACCGCCCGTCACCACCGGCAGCCGGTTCTGCAGCACAGCATCGAGATAGGTTTCGTTATCTGGGTCAATGTTGGTCGGATGCGCGGGCGTGCGTTTGAGCGCCAAATCGCGCTTTTTCTGCACGCTCGCCTGCATGCTGCGGATTTTGTGGAAGACGCCGATTTTCAAAACTGGGTTTGCGGGGCGGGCATGCATGGGCAGATGTGTGTGGGTTGACGGTAGGCGCGCGGGCGTCTTGGGTCTGGCTGTGTGGGCTCGTTGTGTGGCCCGCTGTTCTGAAGGCGATCGTTCGGACACGAAGAGCGTGGATGAGTCTTCTGGTCCCCCTGGCGCAGGACCCATGGGCGCTTCTTCGTACAGAGCATCGTGCATCTCGTCTTGGTGCTGCGAGGTCGAATATCGCCCTTGTGTATTACGGGACGTACTGGCGTGCGTGTAGGAGGGAAAAGGAATATGCTGGCTCATTGGTGAGGGTGTGGCCATGTCCGCGCTGTCAACGTCGTGTTCGACAGACTGCTGGATTTCGTCTTGTTCTTGCATGGCGTTTGGGGTTGCCCGCTTGCTTGCTTGCTTGTGTAAGGTAAGACTTCCTGTGGAGCAATATGCGCTTGAGTAGTGTTGGCGAGGTCAGCCGTAGACGCAGATTCGACTTGCTGAGTCTGTTTCCTGGGACCTTTTGCCTTGTGATGTAGGGTTTTGATTGCGGGAGGCTTGGATGGAGATGGAGATGTAATCGTAGTCGTAGTCGTAGTCATAAACGTACTCACCCCTCAATCCTGCAAAACTAAAAAAAAACGGCAACACCAACTCAATCTCAGAAACCCAGGATCCTACATGACTATCAGCTGTGAAGTCAAGAAACAATCTGCGCGATCTTACTTTACCTCACGATGGCGTATGCACTGCCTCACTGCCTCACTGCCTCACTCACCCAGACCCGCGAGGGAAAAAGAGGTGCCCCGGTTTGCTTGGTGAGCTTGCGGTTGGGCTTGGGCGAGGGGTAGTGTGGGGAGTGGGTGGAGGGGGAGTTGGGGAAAGGTGGGTTGGTGGGTTGAGTAGAGGGGACGGGGTAGAGGGCAAGAGTAGTTGAGTAGTGGAAGAGGGGATGAGGTTCAGATGATGAGGATGTCAAGGATGTTGAGCAGACAGAGAACACTGTGAAGTAAAAAAACGCTATGAAGTAAAAACAGAAGCAGAAGCAGAAGCAGAAGCAGAAGCAGAAGCAGAAGCAGAAGCAGAAGCAGAAGTAAAAATATCCCCCATCCACCTGGACCAAAGGACGAACCCTTCATCACCCTCACTTGAACTCCGTGTCTGAAATTGACGGTAAGGTGGGGGCGCATTTTTGGCTGTGTAGTTGGGATATGGGAGGCTGGGGGAGGTGAGTGAGCGGGAGAGAGGGTGGATGGGTGAGAGAGAGAGAGAGACCACACAGCCATCCCAACCGCCATGCCCTCGCAACCCAGATCACGACCTAGCCTAGGAAGCTGACTGCAAGAAAAGATGAGTCCGTCTCCAAAAGACTAGAATCCAAGTCCTGTCTATTCCCTATGGCTATCCTGATTATGCCTTTAGACATGTTTTCAGGGTTACATTTTCAGGATTGCATTTTCAGGATTACATTTTCAGCATCACAGTAACATCTCCAACTACATCTCCAACCACAACCCCGCAGCCACGAACCGCAATCCATGCCCCATCCGACCCCATCCACACCCAACCCCCTCTCCCTTGTTCCCCCTTGTTCCCCTCCACTATCCCTACCCGCCTCCCACAAACCATACGCACGCCCACCCCTCCCATCCACCCAAGTCCAAGTCCATACGAGTTTGAAAAATTCCCATCAACTCAACTCCACATCAACTAATTCCCATCAACTAATTCCACATCAACTAATTCCCATCAACTAAATCCCATCAACTAAATCCCATCAACTAAATCCCATCAACTAATTCCACATCAACTACCTCGACATCAACTACCTCGACATTACTAACCCCACATGGCCAAATCCAGATTACAAACTACCTCACCATAAACCAACACCCAACACCCAACACCCAACCCAAACCAACCCATCGCCAAGCGCTCGAACCCCCAGATCCAAGGCGGCTAGAGAAACGGGGAGACGGGTGTGTGTGCCACTCACACGAATTACATCTCCGACATGCAGAATTTAAAAAGCGGTGGAGGCTGGAAAGAGAACATGAAAAGCGCCAGGGCTGGCGGGGAAGAAAAGGGAAGAAAAGGAAGAAAAGTGGATATCCACAACCAAACCTCCATCCTCCCTTCTCCAACGCACTCGTACATGATACCATATCCCTCACAACCAAAAAATATATACACCCAAAAGAAAATCAGCCCCCAAGCGTCCCAGCATCTCCACCTCAAGCGCACACGCCCCAAATCCTCCGAAAACGCGTTCGGAGGACGGTTTGAGGTTGGAAAAAAGGAACAAGAGGAGGAAGGAGGGGGAAATTGGGTCAAAAGGTGGGGGACTCATGAGAGGTAGGGGACTCCTGGGAGAGGAGGAGGGGTCTAGCACTGGCCCTCTTCAATGTTGGGGTAGAACCAGGCGGCGAGGGCGATGATGATGTAGCTTGCCATGAGGAGGATGCCTTCGAGCCAGTCTGTGGGGGTTAGCTGTTGAACGGTAAGGTGGAGAAAAAAAAAACTCACGAGACTTCCCATCCTGAATCAAATAATTCACCAACAAAACCGAAACAAACAACGTCGCAATCTGAAACGTATCAAAATACAACGTCATACAATCTTTCCCCAACATCCACCCCAAAATCACAATCACCGGAAACACAAGCAGCGCAATCTGCATACTCGACCCCACCGCCACTCCAATCGACAAATCCATCTTGTCCTTGATCGCTACCGTCACCGCCGTCGCATGCTCGGCCGCATTGCCCACAATCGGCAGCAAAATCAGTCCGACAAAGGTTGTGGATACGCCGCCCGTGGCCGTTAGCCCGTCGATGCTCGAGACCATGAATTCGGAGCAAAAGGCGACGAGGGTGGTGGAGAGCGCGAGGGTGATGAGGGCACCCACGACGGAGAGCTGGGGGGTTTCGAATTCGTCTTCGTCGTCGTCGGCGTTGGCGTAGGCGGATGGGGTGTGGAGTAAGGAGTGCATGTTTACGCCGCCGCCCGAGGCAGCTGCTGTTCCGGCGCCAATGGCGGCGATGCCGCGTGCGGCGTCGCCTTCTTCCTTTTTTGTGGATTTGCGCTTGGGCACTTTTTGGCTGGGTGCGTTGTACATGGCTGCGTGGGTCTTGAGTTGGAAGCCGAGATAGCAGGCGTAGACGGCGAGGAGGATGACGGCGGTGCCGCGGGAGAGTTCTTGGTTCTTGAGTGCGTCGCCGTCGACGATGGCGTCTTCGGCAATCATGTTGTGGAAGACGGTGGGGATGATGAGGGAGGCGATGCAGAGGGCTAGGAGGGAGGCGGCGGTTTGCGCCACCGTCACGTTGAAGAATTGCTCGAGTCTGTTGATGCCGCCGAGGAAGAAGGACATGCCGAGGACGAGCAGGAGGTTGGAGAGCATGCTGCCGATGAGCGAGGTCTTGACAATCGTGATTTCGTTCTTGATCAGCGCCTGGACCGACACGATGAGTTCGACGGCGTTTCCAAACGTGGCGTTGAGCAGCCCACCCAGCGTCTCGCCCACTCGAATCGCCAGTTCTTCGGTTGCGGTACTCAGCATCGCTGCGAGGGGAATGATGGCGACAAAGTTGATGATGAAGACTGGGACAGGCTCCAGACGGGCGTAGTAGACGGCAAAACCAACGGGAACCATGATGAGTAGTACATTGATCCACGCTCCGAATAGGACGAACCGAATCTGCGCGCCGACTGGAATCTTTCTCTTGAGCGCCTTTTTCTTCCTCTCTTCAAGCGACAACTGCTCCGACTCGACACGCTCAAGCTCTACGCCCTCTTCATCTTCCCCATGCTCTTTCCTGAAGATGGCCTTGAACCTCGCCCGTTTCGTAGGCCCATTAGATGCACTGACCACGGTGCTACCTTCGGTCGAATCCTTGCCGACTCCATTCCTGTCTGATGCGGTTTCTTTTTCAGCAGAAGATTCCGGAATCGTACTTGGTGCGCTGCCAAAAGGCGTCCTGCTGGTCGGTTCGGTGTTGTGATGATCCGGCCTGGGAAACTCTGCCTCGGCCGCCTTGCCCTCTTGTCGCCTCTGTGCTTCGAGCTCTGGTGTGACGTGTGCTTCTGACCGTGTCCGGTACATGTCGTTTTCTATGTCGGTTGGTGTCTCCCTGCCTCGTTGACGGGCAAAAGGGTTGTAGTTCAAGGCGCCATCTCCTGTCCTTCCAGAGGCGACACGATGTGCCTGCCTTCGTACTGTATCTACACCCATTGACAAAAGTTAGTGTATGTTGCGCATAGAAAGACATTCTAGGAAGACTGAACTCGATCCCATCAGGTGGTGAGATTGACTTACGCATATTTGGTAAATTGCGCGACAACTGCGCCTACCCAAGATTCTCACTGGTGAATACAACGTCCAATCGCAACTCGCGTCAACTGCAAACTTTCACAGCCCAAAGAAAATATACGACAGCTCGGGGGGCAACAGTTGTAGTCGTGTGTAATTCGTGGTAAGTGTTTGGGGGCCAGGAACCGTTGGAATGGGGGTAAGGGTAAAGGGCGGGCCGATGTTTGGATGAACAAGCGCGCCTCCGTCGCACCGACTGTAACTATCCTGGGGAAGGGAGATCCGCAAGGACAAGGGTTGCAACAAAGTTTGCAGGTCGCGCAAGATCAAAGTCTGGTTACCTCGTGGATTGCTCTGCGAAGCACGGAGGTTGTCGTGCCAGAGAAGGAGAAGAAAGGGCAAAGAAGAGAAGAAATCCCGGGCCGGGTTGAAAGTGAATACAACCTCCTATTCGGAAAGCAATCGCCCAAACGAACAGTGCGCGTCGTCACAGCCACCATTCGTTAGAATCCAACAGCAAAGTCTTCTCTCTTTCTCTCGGGGGCGCAGTCGGAATAGCGCAGGCGAAGATAGAGAGGACAGGAGGTAGAGTATTCTAGAGTGGAATCTGGGCACGACGGGACTATGACACTTTGAACAATGGCGAAGCTCCCACGTCACCATTCAAGCCTTTCCAAGGCCGTCCTTGGCCGTGCTTGCCGCGCTCGATCGACAACAAACAAGAAGTGTTTAGGGCCTGGGCTGACGTGGCGACCAACGCTTGATTGCGCCGGCGTTGTTCCTGGGTGGTTGGCTAGGGAGGTGGGGAGTTGCTAATTGTCCTCGCCACGATAGACACATCGTCCTCGCCACAATAGACACATCGTCCTCGCCACAATAGACACATCGTCCTCGCCACAATAGACACATCGTCCTCGCCCTTACTAGGGTACCTTGACCGCCTGGCAAATTAGCACTTGGCGCTGTGTATCTTATGTGTGAAGAAATGTACAAGTAAGTATCAATACCTAGGGTTAGGGTATCTAGAGTAAGGGTGTAGTAGGGTAAGGGTCAAGGTAGGGCTAGGATTAGTGTAGAGTAAGGGATATATAATACATAATACTCTAAACGTGCTCCCCCTTAGAGTACGTAGTAGGATATATTATAATTACTACGAAGCCACTAATACTCTAGCTATACCTAGATAGGAAGGGCGAGGACGATGTGTGTCTATTGTGGCGAGGACAATTAGCAACTCCCAGGGAGGTGCCCGTAGAGTACCCAACCCAAGCGTATCCCACCGTACTTTAGTAGGGTGACTGTGGGTGCGTCTGGGGTACGTATGTAGCTTGATAGGACCAACGTAACCTTGATATCATCGCATCTAACAACCTGGCTGGAGTTGGCATGTCGAGCCCTGTTGGGGTGTGCGGGTGTCTGGTGGCAGTGTAGGGTAGATGGGAGATGGAGTCGTCGGCTGTGCAGCATAGATTTGCATGAGAAGCGAATAGCCCTCAGGCTCCACTTGGGTGTACAGGCGAAGAATCAATCTATTGTAAATGTATCTCAACGGCCCGCACGACGCCAAAGGTGACAATCCGCAATCGAAGCACAGCAATACTACCCACCACCAAAACTCCCGCCCACCCAACCTCGCCCTCTAAGGACGCTGCACCTTATTATCCCCCTTGATAACATCCGCATACGTCGGCGGCGGCTCCACCGGCGCACTCGAACTGCCCTCTGCCCCCTCCCGCGCACCCCCAGCCCCCTTGCGCTGCTGATTCTGATTCACCACCCCACCCTGCTGCTGCCCCGGAAACTGCCCGTTACTCGGCTGACTGCCGCCGCCAACCAGCGTCCCATAATTGGGCTGTCCTTGTGCGCCCGCGACAGGCTGTTCGTGCGTGATGACGTAGTAGGTTGTGCGTGTGTCGGCGCGCTCGCTGTCGGCCGCAACGGCCTGGTAGGCGTCGTAGGGATCCGGGTTCTGTAGAATCACGTACCAGGCGTGGAGCAGGCCGGGCAGGAAACCGAGACAGCAGAGTCCGAGGTTGATGAGCGAGTCTGCGCTGCAGAGCCCTTTTTTCACCCAGACTGTGCGCGCGGTGGTTAGTCGAGTGTATTTGTGTTTGGGGGGCGGGGTGATGCCTGGTGCCTGGGGCCTGGGGCAAAGGGCTGGGGGGGGGGGGGGAGGGGGGCAACCTACCTCCGACGGGTGGGAAGAGGACGCTCAGGAGCATCAGGAAACAGTCGGAACTGCACATGATGGTGGAGCGAGATATGCGCTGTCAGTGTAGCCTTGTTCAAAGTGATGGTAACGGTCGCGATGTGGAGGAGTAGAAGGGGCTGACGGTCGCCTGAGCGTAGGAGTAGAGTGTGAGGGACGACCAGGGAGGTTTCTTGGTCCTATGACGCGGGTGCTGTGGCTGCTGTGGCTGCTGTGGCGCAGTCACCCGCGGAAAACGAACCCACAATTCCATCTCACAAGTGGCTAGAGTAGAACGTATGCTTGTACTGCGTTGCACTCCTAGCAAGACCTGGTCCCTTCCACGTCGAACCTTATCGTCCCCATGGAGAAGCATGAATTCAGTGACATGTCTCTCAGATCAATTCGTTCACTCAGCGAAAATCACTCTCGCAGCTCGCGTCTAACGGATTTGCTGTGCTTTTCACCATTTCGAAGAACACAACCATCAACTAACTTACTTGCCATTCCTCCATCTCTTCCACACCACAAAATCTCCACTATTTCACCCTAAACCCATGCGCGGCACTAACCCACTCCTGATCCAACAATCTCCCAACTCTCTTCAAGATACGGGCCCCACCCATCATAGCCTGGAACTGTCGGACTCTCTCATCCTCCGTCATCATCAGGAAAGCCGGCAGTCCGTAAACCGGTACACTCATCGTAGTATCCATGGCAGCAGCTGAGCCCGAGCTAAAAGAAGCTGGGATCGGTACAGTGAAAGAGTCCTTGAGCGATGCAACGATCGCTTGGGCTGCAAATGGATTTAGGCCTGCACGACGGAGAAAAAGCTCCCACTGCGAGTGTACAGGGGTGATCAGTTGAAATCCCGCACCATCCAAATTGCGAGGCAGGAATAGAGGGAGGGAAGCAGTGGTGACGAGAAAAAGCATGGGGTTGTCAGACTTACACTCGTCTCCACAGCCAAAGGCTTGACATCCCCAATATCCACCGATCCATACTCGAGCCCAAATTCCACCATCGTACCCACTACGCCCCTCGCAAGCGCCGTTTCCCCTCCCTTTAGAAATCTCACAAGTACAGAGCCCTCTAGTTGCCCTGCGAAAACTTCAAATTGCTCAAGTGCCTCTTCATCGCGTGCATCACTCGGTCGGCTTGACCCTCGCTCCTCCATTTCCCTAGAGAGACCCTCACTGACCATGACAAGAAGTCTCTCATACCGAGTTTGTAGCGCCAGAATGCGCTCTTTGAGCGGTGAGCGGTCGAGTTGGCCGGGGAGAGCGCGTTGTTTGATTTGCTGAAGGGTCGTAAAGATAAGACCGGTTGCCGGGGAGAGAATCATATCTGCTTCTTGCGAGGGGAAACGGGGCTGGGCGTAGTCTCTGTACAGGATTTCTGCGTTCGGGTAGAGCTTCTCGATCTGTTTGGTCAAGGAGCGTCGTTGCAGTAGGAGGGAGGAGACTATGAATGAGCATAGGGGCAGGCGCTCTGGGAGAGATATGAGGTATATGTCCTTTGTCTTCTCGGCAGGTATTTGGACTGGTGCTTTAGCGATTCCATTGACTGAAAATTCGCGCGAAGGCTCTCGTGGGCCAACAGGCAACGTCTGAGTGGTATGTCCCATTGTAGAGTGATGAGCCTGTGCAGCAACCGCAGACTGCATAGATTTCCCTCTCGTCTCCATGAACCTGTGAAGTGCCGTACTGGCCGAGAAACCACCAAACATGAGTTCGTTCCGAGTATCTTTGCGTATTTGCATCGATTTCTGACGAGACGGTGGTGCTTGGAGTCCAATTCGATTGTATTGAGTACTTCTTGAGTGTTCCTTTCGAGTGTCATGGCGGCCCAGCAACGACTTCTCCCACTGCTGGCTCTTCAGTCTCTCCTGTTGAGAGTGCCGTCTATCCGACGGTAACATTGTCTGCTTTTGAGCCTTCTCTGCAACTTCTTCATCCATCTCTAACTTTCTCTTCCGAACAAGAGCTTCCACATTTCGCTGCTCTTCTGTTTCTTCTGCCTCAATTTCCTCCTCTTCCTCCTCTTCATCCAGAATCCTCAAGCCATGAGGTTTCCAGACTAGAGATGAACTCACTGCAATCATACCAGTTGTCAATTCGGCTATCGTCTTATCCAGCTCCGTTTCGCCGTGGAGTTTTTCTTCGAGGTCAATGGAGGATACAGAAGTGGTGAAGATGCTCCATTGCAACTGCCGTTCCAAAGCCGATACGCCATGCCAGGAGGTTGCATTCTTCAAATCCTCGCGCTTTATCCGCAACAAGAGTCTGGATTGAGCCTCAAGCTCTGTCTCACTAGACTTTTTCCGGCCACTGTTGCTCAAATTGTAAACGTTCCACGGTGCTATTGGTAGCGTGAAGTCGAGTTCAGGTATGTCAACGCGTGCTATAGTATCAGCACCCGACAGCTTTTCTTTATCGATCTTTCTCTTCGCTTCCGCTGCCAATGGCTCAATTTCCCGCAGAAAGTCGTCATAGTCACTGAAATCCACAGAGGAGTTGTCTTCATCATCGACGGTGTCAGCCAACTCCATAGTTGGAATATACTCAGCCAGTATCTCTGCAAATGACACAGATTTGAGTTTCTTCATGGGCGACGATGTGAACATGGGTGGGGTCAGCGGTCCTTCTACTTTGTGATCCTCGACCTTCCGCTTCACAGCTACCGGACCTTTGTACTCGGAAAGTGGACTGAACTGTGGCGGATCGATAATGTCAAGCAACATCAAGTCGCTGTTACCTGAGCCTTCACGCCTAAGCGAGTTTTCATTCATAATCTGTTGTTCGATCGCTCTTGCCTCTTCAACCAGAGAGTCACCGCTGTCTGATGGCAGAGGCAGCCGATTTTCTGGCGAAGAGGGTATATATGGTGACAATGGCGGAGAGAGTGATAATAGTGGAGGAGTTATAGGGCGAAGTCCTGCATTCTCCAACACTTAGTATCCTATCGTTATGTCCCCGGCTATACGCACTGGTTTGTAAGAACCTATGGCATCGATAAGAAACTCGGATTTCTGAGCTCTGCAATCGTCACGAATCGCGTCTTGCAAAAAAAACAAAACCTCTTTTGTCACACCCAGCCTCTCAGCTCGAAGCTGCTCAGTGCACTGCACTGGATATGCGAAGTACTTGGACGGCCACTCGAACCCCTCATCCTTCTCCCGATTGGTTGTTTCAGAAGGAATCTTTAGATCTTCTAGATCAGGACTGACCACTTTTCTGAATCTCAGCATGTCGAGCTCATGGTCTGTTGATAGAGCTGGGAGTTCTTGTCTCCAGCTGAGCATCAGTTTGCGCCGATTTACGGTTGATGCATCCGTATCAGGTGCTCCTTGGAGTGAGTACATAGCCTTGAGTAATACCGCAGCATCTCTGTTGAGTGTCAATCGCTCCTTTGTTAGTTCACTGATGTCGTCAGTAGAAATAGGTGTTGAGAGATCTACAAGATCTCGATTGTGCTCATCAACGGATGGCGCGAGGCAGGCATGAAGTTGGAATTCCTCGCTCGCGTAGTCTGCACAGAGACTGTGATATCGCGCATATTCCAGCGCACTCTCAGCGTCGAGTACAGCATCTGGATTGAGGTCCATGATAAGGGCCCATTAGCGTCTGGCTCACAGTCGCCACTTGATGTGTCTCATTGGCGGTTGAATAAAGATAGAATTAAATGTAATCAGGCGGATCGCACATCCTGAGATCATGAGAGTTAGATGAGTCGCGTCCCTGTGTCGTACTTTCCTCAGTAGCGCCATCACGTGTTCACGTGTTTCGAATGGCTTCAGGACTGTGCCTACCTGCGCACTTGACATTGTGAATACTCCAATTGACTTATACGCATGCCGAGATATGTGAGATTATAGACTATGAATTTCCTATACTTTAATCATAGGTCAACCGCCATGGCACTATAAAGAAAGTCATTATCCACCAGCTCTTCGAAATCTTCGAAATCTTCGAAATCTTCGAAGAAAGACCGGCGGGCATAAAAACGAGGGTCAACTATATACAAAGCCAGCAGTCTAATCATCAGCCCCACATTCTACGCTTCAAGCGGCACAGGTACCATTGGCATAGGCACAGGCACCCTCCTCCTCGCCTTGGCCTTGCCCGCAACAGGCTTCTGCCCGAAGCCGAGGGACTGATTACCCCCATTAAACGCCACAAACTGCGCCTTGAACATGGTATCCCCAAAGATCTGCATGCCGGCGCCCTGGTTCCCTTGCACGCCACCAAAGCACGTGGTATTTGCCTGGTCGACAGTGGTAAAGGTAACCTGATCACCAGGGATCTTGGCCATGTAGCTATCACCAATAGCAACTGAGATATCGGGCAGTGCGGCTGCGCAGGGGTAGATGAAGCCTCCTACCTGCTGGTTGAGCTGCGCGCCCTCGACCTGCGAGTAGTATGCTTCAGCGACCTCCTGGTCGACGAGCAGGAGGGAAGTGCCCGTGTCGGCGATGGCGTCGGAACCAGCCGGGTTCTCAAAAGTCTGGTCATCGATTGCGAATTTGGTAGAGGGGAATTGCCAGAAACCAGTCTCAGATTTGACCGGGATCCAGGCCATTTCACCTTCGAACTTTGTGGCATCGATTTTGCCGAATTCGTACACACCAGTGCCGTCTGGGTCGAGGTCGGCGGTGAAGACGGGGAGGTCGAGAGTAGGCATGACGTTGTCAAAGAAGGTCTTCTGGGGGGTCTTCTTGGCGCCATTGGTGACAGTGTTGAGTTGCGAGAAGGCAAGGCCAACGAGACCGTCGGTGTTGAGGTCCTCGACGAAGGATTGTGAGACCTGATTGGCAAGTTCGATCGCTTGGTTCCCGACCTTGACGCCGCCAATGGTGACGGTGTCGGTGCCTACTGTTCCAGCGGCACCGGATCCATCGCCGTAGCTGATCTTGAACTGGGCACCAGCTGCCTTCTTAAAGGTGGTAGACTTTGAGGCATCGAATGCGGCGTGCTTGCCAATGACCCGAGGGTCCAATTCGGTGCTGAACATCCAGCTATACAGCTATCAGCATAACACCCCTCGGCTTCGATAAGTAACTCAGCTTACAGGTCAGAAGAGCCAGAGTCAAAGTCCAAGTTCAACATCTGCCCACCCACTTCGACAGGAGAAAGAAACAGCGCAGCATTCTGCTCAGGGTTGGCAGCAACAGTTCCACTCTGGTTTTTACCAGCGACCTCGGAGGCAGGACGAGTCTCGGTCCTGTTTTCACCCTCACCCTGTGCCTTTTCATCCTTCTGGCCAATGAAACCCTCTGGGTCCTCCATGAACTCTTTCAGACCCTTGAAATTGTACTTTCTGTAAACCTTTCTCATAGCAGCAGGGCCATTGGGGCCTGTAGGATGAGCCGTGTTGACCTGTCTAGGTACAATGAACGAACGTTTGTGTAGACCCCGATGGCGCCCCGGTGCAGGGACAGCAAGCGCAACGGCTGCTAAAAGAGCGAGGAGCAGAAACAACCGGGTGGAAAACATGATGTGATCTGGAATGCTGACCGGCAGCCGAACGACTATCAAGCCGTGAAAATAGAACGGGAACAGTCTACCACGAGACCAAAGGTAGAACAGAAATGAAGACAAACACAAGAACAGAAGAAAAATCGCAGCCCAATGTGTTCAGATCTTAATAAACACACGAGGATCCAGCACTATTAAAAGAAAGGAACAGCGAGGATAAAGTTAACCTTCTTCTTCAACAAATGAACGTTATCAACCCCACCAAACCTTGTCCACGACAAAGAGGGCGATGCGATTATGAAACCAAAAGTTTGTGCAATTGAAACCTCCCTCCTCCCACCCGGCTCTCACGCATGAAGACACAGCAGAACACATGAACGCACCCATGCCCCGGGGCGCTTAATTGAACACGGGCGGCGTAGACAGGAACATCCACAACTCACCAAGATCCCAGACCCGATCACCGCATTCTCCACGCAGCACCAGAAGAGGGGAAAGAAAGGAAAAAACAACAAATTGACCCACTGGACTTCGGTGTTGCATGTTGCAGCATCATCCGCATGGACTGCATATCATGCACCACATACCTACCCACCTCGGAAAAAATCCCCATACACAGATCTAACATCCCATCGGCCACCGGACAGGATCCCCCAAAAGTGGAGACCACCTCACTCGCTCCCATCTCTTCCCACGCCCAGCCCTGATGTTTTAGCGCGCGTTCCCTCCCCACTGTTCAACACACCAGCGCATACCATAGGGGACTGAAACGCAAGTCCAAAGCCCATCTTACGCGGACTGCAAGATTGCAGTTGGAGAAGTGTGGAGTTGGCGTTGCTGGTGCTGGTGCTGTTCTCGTCCAGCCATGTGGTGTTCACTTGATGGCCGTGCCGACGTCCGACCCGCTGGCGTTGCCGTTGCCGCTGCGCTAGCGTTGCGCTAGCTTAGGGCGGTTAAGCGAGCTGGGATTCGGAGGAAGAATAAGAATGAGCAAGACTTTCTTGGCTGCGTGTTGTTTCAGGGCGCTGGGGTGCGAGGACGGGGGGTTTATGCGGTGGGGGTAATGGGGGTTTGATTGGATAGTGGGATGGGTGAGGGTTTGGTGTAAGAATTGGAGTTGTGAGGACTTGTGATGTACAAGATCTAGACAGACAGTGTGATTGATTGTTTTCTTGGGAAAGGGTGGGATGGCTATTGAGTGTATGTATGTATAACCAGCACGGATGGCTTTTTTTTACTCGTCTAGATTTCCACCAGCTAGTGATTTTTCTTC